ACAGGACACAGAGGACACGAGCGCCAGGACCAAGGAAAAGAAAGGCAAGATGCACATTTCCTTGATGGTGAAATCCCTTCCGAACAAAAAAACCAAAAAATGAGCAGGGCGGGCGGTATAATATTATGAAGACAATGTTTTTGTGCTGAGTGTGCCCGAAACATATTTATTGATTTCCGGTTAGTCCGTTTCACTCTCTGTCCTGCTCTCTCTTTCTGTCCCTTTCTTTAATAGCTATCCCTCTTTGTCCAGCAAAGTAAGAGTGTAATTAAAAATAAGTCTCAAGGACTTTGCCATTTGCTCTGCATACTTAATGCGCTGAGCGGGAAATGTCATCTGAGGAAGTCTGTAGGAGATTTCTATAATTAAATTGGATGACCTTTTCACTTTTTAAATAATACACGTACAGTTCTATCAGCTAATTAAACAAGTCCTTCAGTCCTTTAAACAATTGTTCATTTATTTGAGCCTTGAACTGTTTGGTGGTGGATGCTTTGCTTACTCATTACGATATCGTTTTATAATCCTGGCTACATCTTGAACATTTCCAGATAATATTTCAGGAATTAGCTTACAAATCGAATTAAATAAGCGACTGAGCAGGGCCAAGAACAACAATCTACCAACAACCGACCTACTTGTGCGTTTTTCAACTTGACTGCACCGCACCAAAAACACCAACAACAACAGCACTTGCAAGAACAATAAATTTATGGCTTTTAAAAATGTTTAACTCAAAACCACCCACACCCCAGCCCAGCGCACCCGGCACCCAGCCCCAACCCCAGAGTGTTGGCCATGTTTGCGGTGGTTGCTTTTGCTTTTGTGTCGCAGATTTATGGCCAGAAAGACCAAAAAATAAGAAGTGGCATAAGGAAGTATGGGGATAAGGCCAAAACTTTAGAGAGAGAGAGCGCCTATGAAATAAACTTTACGATTTCCTAGGTAGTCAAATTGAATAAATGTTAAGACAATTGCTGGCATAGCACCGGGGGCTGGACGGCTAGAAAAGAGTTAACCGGGTCCAGGCCCCGAAACCCTGATTTTCTCTATCGGAGGGCACGCCCTTCAGTTTCAGTTTGTGGGGGCAACAATCAAACATGAGATCCGGGGACGAGACCCAACTCCAAACTTTCCACTTCTGGCTACAGCATAGCCGCTCCCCCATGACCTTTAACCCGCCATCAAATGTCGGTGCGAATTTCATTAAAATAAACTTTTTCTACAAAACTCGCGAGCTGCGAACTGCGAGCTGCGAGTACATTTTCATTTTATTTGGGCAAACGACACCGACAAAAAGAACTGAAGTGAAATCACGGCCCGGCACTTTTGGCCCTTTCCTTCCTTCCTATATTGGTAGCCCTCCGCCCCCTTCTCAATTGGCTTGGCTTTTATGGTCGTCGGCGCTTTTTACGGCCAGCAGGACCGACAGCATTTGCCTCATTTCACTCCTGAGCGAGATCTCTCTAATTTGAATACCTGGCTGAGGCCCGAAGGATGAGAATCTGTTCTGGTAATTTCTGCCTCCGTATCCCCCCTCCTGCTTCACTTTCGCCGATAACATTTGCATCGCTCTTTATTGCTTTTAAATGTTTTTTGGCCTCCTGCGAAAGCCTTTCGCCATAAAAACTAGACGGACTCGAAACGGAGTAGGACGGAGGTGTGGAGTGCCTGGTACCGAGTGGCTGGTGGGGCATCGAAAGAAAGAGCATTGAAATTTTGATATACGAATTGTTTTTACTGCCGCAGGCAGAGCGAAACTTTTGGCCCAGATTTCCTCCCGCAGCCCGGGTCAAAAATGAACCACGAAAAACCCAAAAAAAAAAAATGAAGTGGAACCACCTCCTTCCAATTACTTATCAGCGAGTGTAGTCATCTTTTGCACCACAGAGCTTGGAGGAGAAGGATGGGTGGTGCGGCTCTGTATGATGCAGTGCAGTAGACCTGACCCACCGGTAACGGCGGATGATGAAGTGGAAGTGGACCGGAGGGGCGTGGACAGCAGGGGACAGAGTGCCAAGAGCTAAGTGCCGCTTCCGGTGGTCGCTGGTCCACGAAAAAAGCTGCAGGTCCAAGCCATAAATTTACGAGCAAAAAGCTGAAAGACTTACGGTGCTCTTCCCATTACCGAAAACCCTCTTTTTGAAACTTACTCTACAAAAATACACTGAGAGAAATTGAGTTGTGAAGCTTAAGGTCTTGGAAATAGTTAGCAATACCCAAAACACATACAATATAACGATTTTTCTTAGTGTTTCCGCCACCTACTGAAGCCGCAGTATCGTTGCATGGAACCCAGTTATTGTTGCAATTAATAAGGACGTCGCCAGTGGCAAAAAGCGACCGGCGTCTGCCGTGCGTTGCCACTTGGATGGGCGGCCACTCGTCACACAGGAAGCAGGAGGCTGACCCCCAGGACACTCTGAACCTACTCATGCCCACCGGTCCTCCAGTTCTCCAGTCCTCCGACCCTCCAACCCAACCGGCCTCTGACCCATCACTGAGGGAATATTTACTGCTTCACGGCTATGCTGGATGGGATGAGCAACTGCAGCAGGCGAGTAAAATGTCCTTTGCACATTACATTTGCATTGCAGTTACAAGCATTTCGCATTTATCGCAACAGCAACAACCAGACGAACATGGACGGCAACCGGAGACTCCAGAGGGGCAGGGATTGAGTTACGGTTACGGGCCCGAGTCCGGGTCCGGGTCCGGAGGAGATGGAGGCGGAGTCTAACAATGGACGAGGCAGAAATCTCGTCGCCAGCGTCGCTAACAACTCGTAGCATTGCAGCTGCCAGATGTGGTAAGAATAGAGATGTGACAGCGGGTTGGGGGAGTGGAGGATTCCAGTGGGGGGGGAGGAGGTCTGGGGCAGGGGTAGCAACATTTATTGTTTGCAAAGCCTTGTTTATTATTTTACGTGCATTTCTCTTGCCAGCCTCGGCTTCAGCTTCAGCTTCTGCAAGGACTCTTTATGATTCACTCGGTGGCTCCTTTTTGGTCGAGGACATTTTGTAAATAGCAATGCAGTGGCCTGGCTCGGCCCGTCCCGTCCTGGCTTGGCCGCCTGACTTGGCCCGGGATTATATTCACGGCTGCGATTTTATTCACTCGCCGCTGTTTATGTGACCCGGATCATCCAGGACTCCATCCAGCTCTTCCAGTTCTGGGGTGGACTCATCGCCTTTGGTTTCTCATCTCCTTGCGGTTTTCTTTATGTTTTTAATGCCGTGCGCCAAAAGTCCTTTTGTTTGTACACTTGTACTTTATGTACCGAGCGAAATTTATGCGCCGCTAAGTGGATTCGTGGATTCGCGGATCCTTGGATTTCACCCTTGGACCAGCATCTTGGCGCTCCTGTTTCCGGTTCCAGCATTGCAATGCATTGTTGCCGGCCTGCCTTCCTGCTTGCCTGCCTCTGCCTGCCAAACAGGAAATGCAATCCTCCCCATCCATAAAACTTGCCCAAAATCTTGGGGCACCAGCCCCTGCAACACAAAAAAAATGGTTATATCCTTCGGCTTCTTCTGCGATAGACCAATATCGAGTTGAAGAGCCATAGAAGAGCCGGGGGCATTACAATTATCCTGCGCGTGTCCGAGTCCTTGACTGCTTCCTTATCCGTCCATTTATTGCGCCATCGAAGAAGTTTCTCCAGGCCAAGGGAGAAAAATAGAAAAGAATTTGCGTTTGCATGAAATTAAAGTTGCCCCATTTGGCATTTTCATTTGGAGAAAAAAATAAATAAATAGTTGGAATCATAGTTAAGGAAATAAACCAAATAAAACCCTAAAGATAACTCCCTTTCTAAGCTTCTTGAGATTTTTTATGAGACATAAAAACTCAAATACTTAAGCTAATTAAAGTATTTTTCGCTCAGTGTTTTCTTCATAAAATCGTAGCAAGTGCAAATCCTCAATTAACACGAAAACACAGCGAAACAAATAGGAAAGGTATTATTCGGGCGAAGGTAAAGGACGAAAAGGTGATTTCTGTTGCTAATTGGAAATCGAGGGGCAGGACGACCGGAAGAGATAGACACTGACCCTCCATGAAGACCCAAGAAAACGTCACAAATGTTTGTTCTCTTGCAGGAAATTAATGCGAGACATAACAATCGAATTAAGCCAAGTTCGGGGCAAAGGCCAGGACCCGATACCAAACCGATTTGCCACGTTTCAAAGCAACTGTTTGACCTTCAGTGTTTCGGGGGCTTCTCAACTTAAAATTGATTTTTCATATTCATCGGCATGGGGAGGTGGAGGGTGGATGGCCCAGGTCGAGGTCCTGTGACAGGAAGGGGATGATTGGGAGCAATACTCATAAATTAAACATGCCCAACATAAACTAAAGTGAAAAATGTAAGGGCAGTGCTGGCAAAAAAAAAAGAAGAAAAATAATAATATAAGAGGGGAAGCTCGGCGTTTAACTGTATATTTGAAATATTTTAAATATAAATTTCAATATTTAACTGCGCCCGCCGACAGGAAACGGTTGCCGGGGCAGCCACTACGGATACGGGATACGGGATGCGGAATACGCCGTTCGGCGTACAAAATACACCATACGGGAACGGAAAAAGGGACCACCCTGGACAGGAGGGGCACGAGTCAGGAGAGCGGAAATGATCCATCGACCCTCGGCTGTCGTCCCAAAACGGCTCTGACTCAAATAAAAAAAAAAAAGGTTTCCTCTGCTGCCGTTTGGGGGCCAGACCACAAAAACGTTGAAAATATTTGTGTTTCCACTTATTTGCATTAATGCCACGAACCGATTTACTGTCGTTCTGTCTGTCTGCCCGCCCGTTTGTCCGTTTTGGTCCATTCCATCCGTTTTTGGGCGGTTCTTTTTGCCGGCCCAAAGACAACAATACTACAACATGGCCAATACAACCGACCAAAATCCCATCGAACATGGGGTCAGGCCAATAAATATCTCTATGACTTTCGATTGGGTCCCCGTTTTGGGGCCCAGGTCTTGTTTCCTTTCATTCTAATTTCTACTGAACATCAAGGGGATTTTTTTGTCACAAAAAAATATAAATACACATAAAATTAAAATCAAATCCTTTTGTAAAAGCAGCCAACAACCTTGGCAATGTATTTGGCTAAATCACAATAAACCAAATTGAGCGTTAATAAATCCACAATGGCAAGTTCCAGATCGCAGAAAGAAGTCAAGAATTGGCCCGGCATTTTGGACTCTAGCTGTGCCTTAAGACGGTTCTTTTATCCCACGGCACAGGTTGCCAAAAAGCAAAAGTCGACGGCTGCCCCACCACCTGCTGCCATTCCCGCAGCCATGCCAGATGCCATACCGGCTTCCTACAACGAGCCTCCGACGGAAAAAAGCACTGGGGCCAGCGCGGCCTCTATTATCCGATCGGAATATGTTGCCGCTGAAAAGGAGACCAAGATTCGCCCGCCGGTGAACGCCGCCTGGCAACTGGCCAGTGATCCCACAAACCTAGCCAATTTTGGCCACCGGAAGAGTCGCCATCTAAATGACCTCAAGCCGGCAAAGAAGACGGAGCGCAAGGCTTGGGTCTGGGCAGCCAGGCTGGAGCGGCTGGAAAGGGCGGCGAGAATCGAGAAGTCAGAATGGATGGAGGCGCCTCAGCAATTGGAACAGCCTTCCGTCTCCTCCCATAGGATCCAAAGACTTATGAGACCATCGAGACCCAAGCCGAAGCCTCCAATTAGGCCCCCTGCTCAGAGGCTGCAAAGGGCTCAGAAATGTAAGCCAAGTTGCCCGAAAATGCCTCGCAAAAAAGTGCCTAAACGAGATCTGAAATCCCTGACTCCCATCTATCGGCGACGGCAGCCATGGCGGTTCCAGAAGACGGACATCCTGGTGGTAGACGCCAAGAGCAAGCCCATCCAGGAGCCCAAGCGGGAGGCAGCCGGAAGCAGTGCGTCCGTCCGGAGTTGGCAAAGGAGCGACAGCCGTCATATGATGGCAGGTCGTTCCAAAAAAGCATCCGGTGTGCCATTGTGCCAACGACCCACCGTCATCATGGGCCAGGGCGTCCCCTACACCAGGCAAATGCAGATGCGCCAGAATCAGCTCTTCCAGCAGCCGGAGTACCACGACCAGTACATGATCATGCTGCGGCAGCAACAGCAGCAGCAGTACAAGCTTCAGCAACAGCATCAGCTGGAGCATATGCAGCACAGCCACATGGAGCAGAGGCCAGGCCGGCATCCCTACAACTATCCGATGAGTGTCCTGGGCGGGATGAAGCGCATTGCTCCGTACGCGGTGCCATCGAAGACCCAATTCCAACGAATGAAGCGAGGAAAGCTCCTTTGTGGTAACTTTTACTATGATTAGAGGTGATCTACACCTTGAACTCCTTAGAGGTGAATATAGCCTAGAACTTATCCTGGGATTTATTAAAATGCTAAGTTTGGCTTTTCAGTAGATCAAATAATTTTATATATTTTACTAAGATTAATAGGGAATCCTTTAAGACAATACACTTCAAGGATTCATGATTATCTTGGCCACGTTTATCAATAAAATATATGGGTAAAAAATAGTTTCTTAACTTCAAATAGTTTCTTAAACAAATCCCTAAGACCCTTTAAGTTTAGTTGCATATTTTAATAATGAAATACTTGAATTTTCCCCTACACTTTTCCTCACCAGCTTAGCCAGTGGCTTTCCCAAATATTTTGCTCGGTCGCTTGCCCTTCAGCGACCTGAGAACTTTTCGGTATTTAATATACTGCCAGGTGCTTTGGCGGTTATTGGGCAGGGTATGGAGGCTGTGGCGGTGTGGGTGGGTGGTGCCTGGCGCCTGGTGGTTTTCTGCACGCAGATACAATTAAAATCGAAACGAGCCAACAATGCAAACTGGCGAACAAACAGGCAAACACAGGCCAAAACAGTGAAACACAGCAATGGAAACGAGCAAATAATGAAGTGGATAAAGTTTGCTGAAACATTGAGTTTTCGAACCGAGCCCCAAATACGAAATTGAACCGAGAATCCAACCTCGGAGGTGGAGCAGGGCTCCATGGATGGAGGGAAGTGGGCTAGGGAATGGCAATGGCAATGGGAATGGAAGTCGAAATAGAAAATTTCTCTGAGGAGGGAAACCTATTCCTATTTTGTGTATAATTCAAGGTATCACGGCATCGGCGGAGGAGGGTGGAAAAGCGTGGCGAAACAACATGGGAAAACTTTTGTAATTACAATAAAATTTTCACAAATAACTTGCAATTGTTTGTGTTGGGCAAAGTTGGGTAAAGATCTCGGCTAGAATGGGCCAAAAGGAGGGTTAAGCAGTTGGTCCTTGAATCGCAACGAATGTGTTAATTTTCTTGTGTATACCACTTAGAATTTCCCAAAAAACAGTCTATAAGATGCAAAAGTGCCAAAAAACAAAAACAAAAAAACAACAGCAGAGTGTATAAAGATGAAAATGAAAAGAAAACACCGCAAAAATGTCTCCTTGAGAGATTTTCCCAGGAGTTGCTTGCCCCCGCGTCGAAATAAATTAAAATATAATTAAAAAAAAAAAAAGGAACTGGAAAACGTGGACCGGAATCGAAATACATCCGGACTCGGCTGTCCAAAAATTTAGTCAGAGCTCTGGGGAAAAAGAGAACCGGGAGGAGCAGGAGAATCGGGAAGCAGGAGCACCGGAGAATTGGGGAACCGGAGATTGCGTGCCTCACCAATCCTGAATTCTATATGGAACATTGTTTGCAAATTAATCTTCGAAAATGTCTGTGAAATGCTAAGGTATGGGAATGGGATTGCTGAAGTTGTTCAAGTATTTGGTTGAGCTGCCTCGCTCTACTTATTTATGATCAAAAATTGGATGGCTCATTTTTCAAACAAATATTTATGCTCCACTTAGAGCAGTGCGTCGGTGGTATGCGTGCCAAAATATTTGCTTTTAATTTTTCATAAAAGTTTCCCAGCCAGAGCGTTCCACAGCGTTCTTAGATGCTACTGTTTGGAATTAAAGAATAAATACGCAATGCATTCTGCAGTTAATCCAGTTACTGACAAGGAAATTGAGGTGTGGACATGCAAAGCTTACAACAAACACAGGTGTGTGTCTGAGTGTGTGTGTGTGGCAAAGAGAATCAACATCAATGGGCAAATATTGGCAGCAACAATGAGGAAAATCTAGTTAAGCCAAGGGGGCCTCAAACACGTCCCCATTCCACATGGTGGTGCCTCAAAGTAAACGGGAGCAGGGCTGGGCTGCGGGGTTGGGCAAACGAAACTGAAGATTACGAATGTCTGCTGCTTGTTGCCCCCCACCTTCAAAATAAGAATAACTCAATGCACAGGCAGGAAAAACAGGAAAACAAATGGTAGGGGGTACACAGAGAGAAAATTAAGAGGGAACTACAAGCCTTGGATGTGGGACAAACTGTTTGCCTTGGACTCGGATTAATTTTCCAGCCCAAACCCTAGTTTTTCAGTGCAGGATAAGGGAAAGTAGAAAGTGGCAAGTGGGTGGAGAAAGAAAAGAGGAAGGTGAGTTGTACATGCAGACCTCGATTCACGATTGATGTGGCGGATCCTGTCTGCAAAGGGAAACCCTGGCCGAGGTGCCGAGGAGACGAGGGGTGGGCCGGAGTCTTGATGGATGGATGGAGGCTTAGCTTAGGAGCGATGTAGCTTAAGCTTGCCGCTTCCAATTGAAGCTTTTCGGGCGGGCGATTGGAGGGACATCATGGAGGATTCAGGGGCGGATTCAATGCCTTGGGTACATAACTCTCGTTGTCGTTTATTGATTTGTTTTGCTCCAAGCCTGCAGCCCACTGGGAGTGATACATAGCCCAAAAAAAATGTAAAGGAAAGGTGCCGACTAGCTAGGATACCCCACATCCGATGCATCCTGTGAATGTGCGGACAAAAACGACGGCAGATTCGAGGACACAGAATGACGTGCGGAAAGATGAAGAAAACAAATTCATCCTCGCTGGATGCCGGACTGTATTCCTCCGTATTCCTTTTTTATGTTTTCGATTCTCAAGGACATTCTAGGCTGACCACTTTAAGGCAGTTCTGTCGAAGCTTGTATTAATTAATATTTTCTCTCTTGAATTCATAGACTTTTTTCTTTCTTAAAGATTAGCACTTACTAAAACTGGAATAGCTAAGGAGTAGATCCTTTTTGTGGGGGGCTGAGTAGGATTATTGAATTTCTCTCCCTGCGCACGAACTCCTCCGGAATAGATTTAATTTGGTTTTTATTGTGAGCCCTGGCTGCCTTTTCGCGCATAATGAGCTGTTTCCCCTTCAGCTTTCGGCCTAGACCTAACCTATAGCTCTGTAATTTTGAGCAAAAAAATTCCCTTAAATTCGCATCTTATGTTTTCAAATAGCATTTACCGGGAAAATTGCAAGGAAAGCGATCCCAGGGGGATTTTCAACATTGCGTGTAACAAGTGTTTGGTGCCTCGCATTCCCATCCATATAGGTATGTGCCACATACATAAATGTGTAAGGTAATTCCCGTGCAAATTATATGAAAATTGCTACCGAATGGGCCAAAAGGGCAGGCTTGTTGGCTGGGGTAGGTGCACCGTGCACGCGATTTGGACAAGGAAACGCAGATTAAAAGTGAGTGGCAAGTATGACGAAACATTGTATATTCGGCCCTTCTGCCTACATATTTAGCAATTAGGGAATATGAACCCTCGGGCCAAAAACACCGTCCAAACCCGCCCATTGCAAATTGTAAACAAAATCGAGGAAAAGCGGAAAATTGGCGGAAAAACGTTGCAACTTCTATGGAAGGCTTCGAACTTCTACGAACTAGGCTTGTATAACAGTTTCAGTGGCGTACTTTTTATAAGCCAGTGGTCTGGCTTATACCTTTTTTATACTGCGATGGTAGCTACTATTTCAGTCGTATAATGCAGAGTCTTATACCTGAGGGGCTTATACAATTTATTTAATAGTTTTAGGAAATGAAAACAATGAAGATTTAAACAAATATTTCATGCAAAAATATTTAAAATATTTTTCTTAAATTTTTAAAATTTAAGCTATATATTTTCCTAATAAAATAATTTTAAATAATAACTTATACTCCTAAAAGAGTTTGATATACTCCAATTGTAAGCCATCGAATTATAAGTACAAGTATCTTTTGCTTGTGACTTGGAAAGCCTAAAGCTATACTTATACAACTTCCACCCTCGACCAGTATAAGAATAACCGGCTCTGGTTCTTGCAGACGGGAGCATTGCCTCTCACTGCCACTCTCTCTGGTACGCTTTGTATCTCTCGGATGTGCGGCATGTGGCGCCGATGCTGAGATACATGGCCACTCGAGTCGGTTTTAGTTCGGTTTTAGCTCTGATTCCGTTAGGACGCACCGCCAGACGCACCGGGTGTCCCGCTATTCGATTGCGTCGCACGGAGCCTACCGCTCACCCACACTCTAGCACTCCGAAATACACTCACACAACCGCACACACACGAGTGGCAAGCAGTACGGACTACGTACGCAACGTACTCGTGCCGCGATAACAACGCCAAATTATCGAGTCTGCGCCAACTGCGGATGGCAAGTGCAAATCTTGAAGCCAAGTGGCCAAGTGGCGGTGGTCCCAGAGGCTCTGGAGGTTCCGTGGAGCTGGTCCACTAAATAGACCCCAATCCGTTGGCCCTTAGGTTGCCCCAAATCCCGTTTTTGGTCGGCAGTGTGTCTCGCCAGTATGGGGCATTAACCGAAAAAGATATAAACGCGGTTCGCGATTCTCGATTCTCGACTCTCTAACACACAACATCCAAAAAAAGAAAGTGATTAAAGTGGCAACAAAACAAATGCGTCGCACCAACAGCTGGAGCGACAGCAGCAGCAGTAGCAGCGGCAGTGGCAACAACGGTAACTGCTGCTCGTTATTATAGTGCAACATCGGGTTTTTGCTTCAAGATTCAAGAACAATCCGCAAATAGCCGCCAAAGCGAGCATAACGGCCAGCAAAATGGCTTTGCATTCGGCATTAGCAAGTGCAACACAGCATCACCAGCAACAACACCAACACCAGCAGCATCAACAGCACATCAAGTGGCAGCAACATGCAACAAAGCGGCGACGCTGCCGTCAACATTGGATTAAACATCTTCAGCTCCTGGGTCTGGGTGAGTTGACAATTTAACAAAGTTTAGACTCGGACAGGAAAGTTAGTTAGCAGGGCCAACAGCTGTTGCTCTGCCAAGTTGCATGTTGCACGTTGACCTGACCCAAGCAGGCTTTTAATGTACATTGTGGTTTTTCGGTGGCATGGAAGGCAAAAGGCAAAGGAGGGCAGTGCAACAGAATGGCCAGAACCGTTTCATTAAGTCTGTGGGCGTGGCAGAACTCTTGTGGCTGCCGCAATCCATTTGTGATTACTGGGATGGGGCAAGAATTGTAAACTAATTAATAATTACACATTATGCGAGGCAAGAACAGCAGCAGCACCTGGCCTAGACCATCAAGCCACCGGACACACGTACCACAACAGCGCTCCACTTCCGCTCCAATCAAACGCATTATCGTCGGACAGGTTGGGGACTGGATTCGTTGACTGGATGGGAATTGGTGGGGTGTAGAGGCATGGAGCGTTGGTAACATTGCTAGCTGGGGATCTGGGACCGGTACTTGTGCCCCATGCACTTGCGGTCTTATCTGGCTTCCGCCCCTCAATCCCTGAGCAGCTTTTCGGCCCCAAACCCAACAAAAACAAAACAAAAACAAACAACAATCGAATATAATTTACAAAATATTGTGTCGACGCCCACAGTTCACAGTGTGTTTGGTTTTTAGGTTTTTGGTTGGCTTTGGGGAGCCGGTTGGTTTACTTTTTTCCAATTTTATATTCCGTATGAGCATGGCTTTGCATGACATTTGTGGGCGTGTACAGGTCTTTTGTGTGTGGTGTGTGGTGTGGTGTGTGTTGCGGGGGCCCTGGGAGTCAAGTAGAAATGGAAGCGGATTTACAGAGAACGCCCATCATTAAAAGCCCTGTTGATAAGGCCTAATAAAGTAGGGGAACCGAACCAATTAGTTACCAAGTACCTGGCCTGGCCTGGCCAAAAACAAAAACAGCTAGGGCCACGCCCCTTGGGAAAAAAACGGCCAGGATAACCAAGAAAAACAACAAAATCAAATACGAATCACAGAATCAGAATCAAAATCAGAGTCGGAAGTCTATCTGGATGTACATCGTATCTATGGAATCGTGTGCGAGTATTATGTGTGTGTGTTGGTTGGAAAAAGGAAAAGCATGTATTTGTCAGCACAAAATAATCAAGGATCATAATATGTCAACAAACAGACAGGCCAAGCTAAGGCAGCCAAAAAAAAAAAACAGAACCAAAACCAACAAAAAAACAAGCACAAGGACATACACAAACGCAGAAAAGTTGCGTCTGTCTGTCAACTGTTTAAGGATATGTGAGAGTTGTGTGTGAGTGTGAGTGTGCGGGTGTGTATTTGCCAGTGTGTGTGTGTAAGGATACAGAAATGTGTGCCACCAGAGCAGCAGCAACTGAAGCTGAAGCAGTGGCATCAGGAAAAGTGTAGGACAAACATGCCGTAATAGATATATACCGGAGAGCATGTGTTGGTGCAGTTAGGAGAAGCGGGAAAACCCGGAAAAACTGGCCGGGGAATGGTACAAATAGGGACAAAAAAAGAAAAAGGGGGAAGACGAGAAGAAGACAGCGGGTGTGGAAAAGTCGTCGCGACTTGTCGTTTTTGTCTCTGACAGTTGGCAAATGTACTGAAGTGCATTGACAATACCACGAACCAAGTACAGCTTGACCAGCGAGCGCCATCAATGGAACATAGAAAGTGCAGGAAAAAAAATGGTGGAAAGAAACGGGGGCAGGGATAGGCACTGGGAGCATGCTGCTGCCACTTGAGGGTCCTGAAAGGGCAGAGTGTTAAGCACACAGACGCTACTCCTGCCACAAGTCGGAAGCAGGGGAAGGGCTGACTGCCCCATCTCGATAGATAATCTTCGAGATAGCATCGCCAGGAAGCAAAACTGAAAGGCATACTGCAGTTGACTGCTCAGTGTGTGTGTGTGGCTGTCATTTTCGAGCTGGCTGAAAGTTAATTGCGCTGCCCGTTCCAAACGCTCCACAAAAAGCGAATCTCTTGCCACACTTTGGCAGTGTGGGTAGCCCGGCCAGCTTGGGCAGCAAAAACGACGCCCATGTTTGGCCCAGAGTCGAGTCGGTCGGCTACTTGGCTTAACGACCCGGACGGTTGATAATTTTCGCCCCAGCAGCACCTTGAAGTCTGCTAACCAGTTCAATATTGACTCAGACCCGTTCAGGCCACCCGCCCACATGCCGCCCCGAAAGCCAAAAATAAAAGAAACCATCAGGTGAAGCCCGAGCTGCCTCAGCGTGGGCTAAACGAACTTACGTAATTGTAAATCAAAAGTGGTCGCCCAGTTTGCAGATGAAATATTAACAGAGTTGGTTTTGATGTCAGACCAGGGTTCTCAATGAAACAGAACTTTAAAGCAGCAACTTTTACCAATTTTAGCCAATAATTGGGTCTATTTAATGTATTATTTCATTTATTTTAAGTTTCCTAACGTGTTTAAACCAAAGTCTAAGCCTTTTTGTATCTTTTAATCTCTTGAAATGATTTATCAGCCGATTAGTATTTTAAATAAGGATTAGTTTGTATGACAAACAAAATAAATACTTTTCTTTTTTGTTGTATTGTTTATTTATCTGTTTTTAAGCTAATTTTATCTGCGATTAAAATAGACCAAGACCACATTGGTCATATTCCTGTTGACAGAAAGATGAAACTAAATAAAAACATTATGGAAACATGTTGGGGCATAAATAAATCGACAGCATGTGGCAAGGTGAAGCCAACAAAGCCAGGGCCAGTGGTGGGGGAGTTGTCAAACAATAATAAAAATTCTCCGGCACTTGAAGTCGCCACCGAGAACGAACTCCCGCTGCGTGAGTTGATCGTGGCATGTGGTAATTGCCTCAATGCGGATGCATCTTCATCCATGATTCCATATCCATACATACTAGCTACCTAGCTGGGATTTATGGACTCACAACACATGTGGCAGCATTAGAAGATACCGACCCCTTGCCACGGTTCACCGAAATTTGATGGAGTTTTCCCGCCCGGTAAGGCGAAAATTGAATTTTTTTTTGGGAGGGATTTTAAAGGGCTGTACATGGGAAGTGTAACGAGCGCGAGGCTCTTCTGGCTTTGGCAGATTGAGAATGAATTTCAATTAGTAGGATACCTCCTTTATATATGTATATACTATATTGTATTACGTACGCACAAAGGGGGCGGTGGCAGGGGCCAGGATATTAGCAATGTGCAGCCTGGCGTGCTTCCGACGCAGAATATTCCCATGCAGAGGCCACAGAAGGATGCGGATGCGGATGTGGATGTGGATGCGGATGCGGCGGATGGATGGCATAGATGATTGCTCTTCAAGCTCCACCCCTCCGTCCCACTCCTCTCTACCGCCGCTCCTCTTTGGCGATGACTGACTTTGATGGGTTTGCTCGATATTGATGCGAATTGATTTGGTTAGTCAGCTGTCGGACAGCCGGATGCCAGCCATCCACACTCCCCCGCCGCCCCACTGGCTCGTCCTTTCTCCACCAAACAGACAGTTGAATGAATAAATAAAAACGGCAAATCAAGCAAGATGCCAAATGAGGCTCGTCATAGACTCGTCCTGACGGCCAAATGAGGTTTTTGAGGAATTGGAGGGCAGGCAGGGGCAGGTCCTTCAGATGGAATACATTTAATGGTGCCACCCACCCACCACCTACTACCCAGAATCCCGATCCACTTCAGTTCTCGGCTCGGCTCAGTTCAGCTCAGTGAAGTAATTGAAAAACCATTTTCAAGGTGAGGCCCAAAAGCTCAAGATGGTATGAGGGATATGGACACTAAGCACACTGCTTCGATAGCTTCATCTACTGCTAATTTAAATTTATGAATTTTTTGAAAAACATCTCAATGTGGGCCTCCTCGTCTTCCACGCACTTTCACTTTCCTTGAGTATTTAATCAAGTGTGAATAATTGCATCATTCTGCTCAAAGGGAGTCGATATCCTTTGTGTTTGTGCGCCGGCAGATACGAGCCTGTTTGGGAGGGAGTGTGTGCGAATGGAATTGTCTGTGTTATCGATATGTGGGCCAAGAAACCACTCCACCACCACACCCACACCATAGCCCCGGGAACCACTTTCCTTGCAGACGGCTGAAAAAAATCAAATTCAAAGCGAACCGGGTGAGTTTTCACTTTATATTGTGCGGCCCGAGGTGGCAACTTGCATATTTTAACCTGATGTTGAAATTGCGATATTGAAAAATGAATATTTTATAATTTGGGGTAAATATTGATGTATATATGTGGCATCTGCATCTGCCGACTAATTGAAGATTGAAGTGGCAGCTGGCATTGGGAACTGGGCACTAGGAACTGGCAATGCAACATCCATAGTGCCACGAACTTAAGCATCTGCCTAATTTCGAGTCATTGCGAGACGCGTGTCGAACCGGTTGGGGCATTAAGTTCGTGGCAGCTTCAGCTTCAGCTTCAGCATGAGCTTCTTCTTGAATTCGACAGCTGCAATTGAAACTTCTGGCTTTCGGGGGAACGCAGGTTTCTTCTGATGACTTCTCGGCTTTATTTGCAGCGTGTGAACTGACGGCGGTCGGCCCATGTCCATTGCACGCTTCAGTAATCCACTGCGGCTTCTCTAGTCCGACGAGAGGTGCCTGGTCTACACTGGGAGAAACTCCATTTCACTTAAATGAGTTAAACCACCCTCCTCCTGTAGTATCCAAGCAGTATTTATTCGCCGTGTGGATGCAAGATGGGCGTCCAGTTGACCGGTTGACGTGTGGTTCCGCTCCGGCGAGTCTCTTTCCCTTCGCCGGGAAATCTGTGACGCGGCATTTAGCCGCGGCTGGGAAAACTTTAACTTTAACGACTTCACTTGCTTTAATTGCGACAGAGAAAAATTCGTTTTCCTCTGCAACAAATTCGCTGGGAACTGACAAAGGGACTGACTGCCCTTCTGCACTCCTCCTTTTTAACGACCATTGCCTGAAATATCGGATTTCATACGCAGACATGCAT